CACAGGTCTGCGCCGTGGATCCTTCCGGGCCGGGTGTCGAGGACGGCGCTTCCTTGAGCGCTGGGACAGGCCCAGGCCGCCACAAGGGCCTGCGTGCCCCGTCGCTCGGTCTCCTCCGCGTCCTGCACCTACTTGAGCTCACGCTCGCCCTGCCCAGCTCCCGAGTTTTGTTCCCGCTTTTTCCAGTCTAATTAGTCTTTTAGCACAGGTGTTTCCAGTGGCCTTGGGACTCTGACTCTTAGAACTGTACCTATTCTATCATCTAGTCATGGGACCCTGGAACCTGGGGTTCCCGCAGAGCTGCCGTTAGGGCTCCAGGTCCCTGACTTCTGTTACTCCACTCCAGGTTAAAACTCTCTTTCCTGTCTCCTCAAACTCATTACTGCCCAAGTGCCATGGCCCCCAAGCCCGGGAGTGAGTGGAGCACAGTCCTGTCCCACCTGGTGCTGGGAATGGTGTCTCTTCATGGAGCGGTGAGTTCTGCGCAGGTAAGTAACCCCACTCCCACACGCTAAAATCCTAGTTTGCTGCACCAGAGAGAGGGTGATGGGAGGCGAAGGTGGGACCAGGTCTCTATGAGAAGCCCAAACCTTTTCCTGTTTAAAGGGGTCACCTACCCTCTTGTTTCCTTCACTAACAGTCAAGTCGAGGGGCTGCTGCAGGTTTCCTGCTCCAGGCTTTGGCTGCTGCCTCCATGCTGGTTCCAGGGCTGGGCACACATGAAGATTGTCTCGCTGGAGCCTGGGTGACCACAGTCATCGGCCTGCCCCTTCTGGCTTTCGACTTCCACTGGGTGAACGGGGACCGCTCCTCTGCTAACCTACTCCTGGGCGGAGGCATGGTGCTGGCAGTGGCTGGTGATCACCTTGGCCCTGAAGGCTGCTCTGTGGCTGGTCAGGCAGTACTGCTGGTGGTCGCAGTGACCATCCTCATTGTGGCTATTTTCACAGCCAACACTTATGGGATGTGGGGGGGTGCGATGCTAGGTGTAGCAGGCCTCCTGAGCCGACTGGAGGAGGAGAGGCTGCTGCTGCTGCCAAAGGAGGATGTCTGTCGCTGGGCCCTGGCTGCAGGCAATTGGGCCTACTGCCGGGCCCTGCACATACAGCGCCTGCAGTGGGAATGACAGTTGCACACAGTAAGGCTGAGCTTCTCCCTTGGCTACCACCTCCCTTTCCACCAGCCTGCTCCTGGAGCTTCCTCCCCTAGAATAGGCTTTCCCTCCTCCTACAGTGGGCTTGCTGCAGATTGACTTATTAGGAATGGAGCTTAGGTGCTATCTCTTCTCCAGTCACTGTAGGAACTTGCCTAGACCAGAATGAAAGGGCCAGGGTCCCAGGCATTTTGGGGGCCTCCTTCTGGGAAGGACATAGTTGTGGGTTCAGAGAGACTTGATCTCCAATAAACCTTAGGAATTCTACAGGAATATGAAATTTGCCAATTCTTGAGAGGGACTGAGGGGCCTTTGGTGAGCTTCCTGAAGCCTCCAGGGCATCAGCTGTTTTCCCTGAACAAAGGGAGGGGATGTGCTGGAACATGCCTGGGCCTCATTCAGTCTGGCCTGCCTTGAAAATATAGCCCCAGAGCCCTTGCTCTCCTTTGACATAGTACATAGTAGATTCTGGATATTGTTGCCCAGCCTGGCAGGTGGCCCTCTGGGGCAATGACCTTCACGGGCTGATGGCTGGGTTAGTAAGGGCAAGGGAGGGCTGGCTGTACCGCCGCGATTGGCAGAAATGCATCTTCCTTCCCTGGGCTGACTCAATGACTACCTGTTTGCCTTCCAGTCGGTGCGAGCAAAATCCTATTCCCTAAGACCTTCACTTTCCTCTGTGGACCCTTCTTCAGCCTCCAACTCCAGGATAGGAAACCGGGTTGAACAGAGCAGGGGGTTAGAGGTCCCAAGTGTGCCCCCTCTCCCGGGCAGTACCCATGTGTCCAGCAGAAGCATATCCTATGCCGCACATGACGGGTGGTCGGCCGGGCTCTTTTAAAGTTGGTGTCCTTCCACTCGGGAGAGCCAGGCCACATTCAACCCCGAGTGTTGGGACACGACGGCGAAGGGAGACCCCCGACCCCGCTGACTCGCCGCGTATAGGGGCCGTCCTTTCGCCCCTAGGCGGGATTCCTCACCTCAGGTGCGCGCCCCTCCACAGGTCGTCCGGGCTCCGCCCCTCATGCCCACCTTCTACCGGAGGCGGGCCTCACGCGCTTCGTGCCCCCATTGGCTCTGAGCGCCGTGCCGTCTAGTTCCAGGCGGCGGTCCCATTGGCCCCGCGTGGAGCCCACGTGATGGGGAGGACGAG